TTTGATCATGTGCATATACATGAAAATGGAAAAAAAGTGATGAAAAAATTTTGAAGTGCTGATTTTCCCTGAAATTACTGTCATTTGAGTAAACTGTGGTATTTGTTTTATTTCAGTAAGTAATAAAATACCATTTTTATTTCCTTGATGAGGATCATATAGACTCCCAATAATTTCAAAACAAAAATATGTTCCGGGATCTTTGGTATCTTAGAGTTAGATTTCTTCAAGGCATTTACATACTCTAGTTTGCATGGAACCTAATTAGTAAGTGAAAATAATTGGTACTACATGTATCAGAATTTTTTAAAACCAAGTTTAAGAACATGTATCAGGGAGAAATTTTCTTTTTCTTTAAAATAGACTTTTGCCAGAATAAAGCATGTGGATTAAATTGCACATTTCCTCCACTTTTTATTTTTATTTTATTAAAAACCAAAAAACAGTGAGACTGCCCCAACCTATACATGCACACACAAAATTATAAAATTCACTGGTTAAATAAAAGGTATCTCTACAGTTTAAAATTTAGATGATTTGTCATTTTTGTAGGCATAAGAAGGAGACCATGCAGAGTCTGTAGAATGAGTAATTTGTAAATCGTATGGACTTGCATGTACATCTGTTCAATAAATTACAATATAGACTGGGTAATACAGCAAAACTTGTTTAGTACGAACACGAATATTGCGAATTTACAGATATAGCGAAGTCAATTTGGATACCAAGCTAAATAAATTTAATTGATTTCTTATACAGTTATAACTAATTACAGATATAGTGAAGTAATTTCATAGGTCCCAGTGACTTCGTTATAACTGAGTTTTACTGTAGGAATTGTTCTTCTCAAACTCAAAAGTACACACTGTACAAGTTTTCACCTATTAATATGTAATATGTCCTCTAGTTTAAAAATTTATAAGGCCCAAGAAGCTTCTACATTCCATCCCTTCTAGATATGTAACAGTAAATGAATACAGAAAAAAGGCTAAGATTTGCTGTGAGAATTTTTTTTTAATGATGGTCAAAATTTTTTTTCCCAAAATGCAAATTCCTATACAATTACTTATCAACAAAGATTACATTTTGGTCTCCAAAGATATGTTTATTTTTAAATATGAAAATATGAATAGTTACTAAGAATACAAAGAAATCCCATAGTGGAAATAAAATATAAATTTCATTACTGTATACAGGGTTATTTTCGCCCTTTTGAACTTGTGAACAATTTTGCCCTGTTTTAAATTCACCCAGTCATAGTTCTGTTTAGGAAATTATGAGGTGTAATTTGAATTCGCCCAATCAAGGAGAGGGTGAAAGGGGCAAAAATAAAACAGGGGCGAAAATTTCCCTGTATACAGTATCAGGAAGAATAATATTTTTTGTTGAAGTAAAAATTCAGGCACATTTAAAACTTGTGTAATAGGAAAGGAGAAAATGTATGGTAACTATGGTTCGACCAGGAATTGAACTGAGGAACCCTGCAGCAGGCTGCTTCACTAGTCAGGTGCTCTACCGAATGAGCTACCCAGGTTGATACCCATAGCACAACCATTACATATCCCTCCTTAAAGTTACCTTTATCCTTGCAGACACAACCCAAATTCTTATGAGCCCCTGACAGGACTTTCACTTGCAAATCCAGAGGGGTCAATAGCATCAAATATGTATCAAGGAAGGAGAAAAATGCACGACTGGACCGTGAATCTAAGAAGGGGCCCCTGCATCACCGGTCAGATGTTCTACTGACTGAGCTTACTTGGCCTATATCCATGACCCATACCATTAGACTTGCATAAACTTAAAAGTATTTCATAATATATTGATTGATATTATGGTACATATCTGTCAACCATCATTAACTAAAATCAATTGAAAAAAATCAAAACTGTTATTCACCAGTGACCACATTGAATGAAGTCATTTTTGAAAACATTATAAATGACTGTTAAAGGTGCTTAAATTTCTAAAATTTAAAGTATTAGTTTTCCTGCTGCAATTATTGTTGCCATCCAGGAATAAAACTTCTAAAATAAATGCCACATTTCTTACAGAGTGAGAAGTACTGTGGGAGGAAAGTTGATGAATATGTAAACTTTACAAATAACACGGAGAAATGCATTTTCTTCAATAAAAGCAAAATAAAAAAAAGATTTGAGAATTACTAGAGTATATTTAGGGCTGTTAGATACCAGTCATCAGAAAATAAGACCTCTATAACTTAGTGTAAATGTTATTTTATTATTTTTTTTTTTAATTTATTTAACATATTGACTGCTTTAATTTGAAAATGAATACTAGTAACAGCAATTAGTTCATTGTTGTGCCAATTTGCTCCAAGAATTCCCAACCTTAAAAAACTGCATATTCTTTGAGGGTCATACTTTCTTATATGATTGCCGATATTTCTTAAAATAATCACTGGTTTTATATTTACAGGCTAATTGAATCTTCAATTTATACTCTTTTTAGTTAAAATCTGAAAAAAAATCCATTAACTTGAATCAGAATTCACTTAAACCTACATGAATATATCCCTTACTCAGATAAGTATACAATATGACTTTTCACAATATAACGGTATATATAACATTGACTTTTAATTGAGTTATTGTTTAAATTAATTTTTTTTTGCATAATATTAAACTAAAAAAATTGAATTTTTAAAGCAATTGATTTATTTTTTTTCATCAAAGTGCAATATTTTCTCTGAAAAAATATAGTTAAAATGCTAAAAAGTCATTTTAAAATAATTTTTTTGAAATTTTGGTTTCCATGGCAACATAAAATATTAGATTTTTTAAAAAAAATAGTTTAGATTAAAAAACACAACATTTGCTATATATTTGCCAAATTTCAAGCAAATTGGTTGTCAACAATTTTAGATATTCGCATTTTAGTACACCATTGTGATAATTTTGTTGATATTACAAAACAACTCAGTCCTGAGGTTACAGCGCACGTAAAACAAGTCAGCACACAAAGGGTTAATATCTCTTCGAAAAAATATGTTTATAAGCCTTTTAATGGCATGTGTGTCACAAAGGTTATTTTCAAATGTTGTTTTCAGAATTGTACATGTATGTTTGAATGAAGTACTATTTTTTTATTTATTTTTTAATGTAACCCCCATCCCAACCATTTTGGAATTCTCTCTATTCTCAGCTTTATATCATGTTGATGAAAATGAAATAAAAAATTACAAAATCCTGCGTACTGTTATTAATATGTGTCTTTTGACAAATATTTTACAAAATATATGAAAGAAATAAAAATAAATATGTTATACATGTAACTATGCTGTAATTTTCTTAAAATTCTTCTTTGTATTCATATATATCCCTTTATTAAGAATGCATTAAAAATTCCTTTTTTCCCAAGCATTATCTCTAAAGGTTAAAAAGCCCTATTGAATGGTGTGACTTGTTTTGTAAGATAATTATTAAAGCACCAGAAAGCTAAGTAGTTGCACATGAGTATTGGTGGACGAAAGTAAATACTGAATCTTGATTAAAATGTTTTGCCAAATTTTGTCAAATTGATCATACTAGTATTCTTTCAATTCAACATTTCAAATCTTTTAATGAAATCAAAATCAGTATAAATGACCATGATAATAATTAATGTACAGTCAAATATGAGGAATGTGGCAGATATAACAAACTAATATATCACAAATAAATAACAAAAAAGAATAAATTACATATGAGGCATTAATTAGCTTTTGAACATTTCTCATTAAACAGAGAGAATTATGCAGTATATACTGTAAACCTTGTCAATAAAGAATATTCTAGAATGCAAATATGTGGTAACTCATAACCTGAGTTGAATTAGGTTCCTGGTAATCTTTATACTAAGATTAAAATCTATGATTTTGTTTTGCTTACATTATTTAATTAGTCCGGAAATATAGAGAAAAATCTTAAATAACAAAAAGAACTCGATGAAATCTCAGGATATTTGAAAAAAATTCAAAAAATTACATACACTTAAAAAATTTGTTTTTCAAAATTTAAAATTTGCCTTGTCAAAGCTCTGCTAGATCTCCTTTGAATAATTTTCTCCAAAGATAAGTTGGAAATTTTAATTTAGATTTTATATTTGTTTAATTTTTCTTTTAAGTTTCCCTATAGTTATTTGTATACATGTAAAATGGACCTGCTGGTAAAAATCTGCATTCACATCTTAAGCCTTTTACATGTACATGGTGTAACTGCTGAAATATGTACAGAAATTAATGCCAATAATAATTTGATAACTTAAAATGTCTCAATATTTTGAATTTACATTTACATGTATTTTTAAAAAGGCTTAATGCTATCAATTACAAGTTAAGTGCAAAATTAAAGGGATATTATTGGGAATAACTAAAATAACTCTTATTAACGAGGCCCGATCTAGTTGAAAATTACGAAAACGGAATGATAAAAAAATTTAATTCTTGTAAATATATTTGTATGTTTTATTCTTAGAAAAATTAGAATGAAATTTTGTTACCTTGCCTTTATTGTAGTCAAATGGGGGCACTGTCAAGATATGGACCATTTGTCGTGTTTTTATACACAAATATTTACATTTGCAAATGTTTTCCTTTATATAACACTACTGAAGGCAAGCGTTTTTATAACTGTGTAAATACAGGTATGGGGTCAAGAGGTCATAGATGTGCGTTTGGATAAACGTTCGATGTAATTTCTCTGTGACGTCATAAAGGTCGACGCGCGTATAGTGGATTACATACATGCCGTTGGGTTTGAAAAATAAACGCATTTCACACGTTAAAAGTAACAATCAGGCAAATATAAAGTATGAATAAGTCATAAATGTAAATATAAGTAATCAGGTATCATTTTTTGAGTTTTATTGGGATGTAAAACGGGTTGGCACATGATCAAATCTTCCATAAAGCCCTTCGGGCTTTATGGGATTTGATCACGTGACCAACCCGTTTTACATCTCAATAAAACTCAAAAAATGATACCTTATTTCTTAATTACATACTAAAACTCTTCAATAAACAAAGAAATTTACAAATTAAAAAAAAATACATGATGAAATTCTTTGTTTTTCACATATATCATGCAATTTTCATTCTTCTTATAAAAAATGAAAAGAAAATTGGAGGTAGCCTTTATTGCAGTGAAAAGGGGGCATGTCAAAACACAAAATTTGGATTTATTCTATCCAACTACGTATTTTGTATGTCGCAATGGGTTTACATAACACCAACAAACGATTGTGATACTGTATTAGTTTCTAAAAAATAAATAATTCCTACATTATGAAATAATTTTCTCGCCATGCTTTATTTTTCTCTCAACACGCAACGTTGTTTTACGTGGAAAAAAGGGGTAGAGGGAGGAAGGGGGGGGGGGAGGCGACAAAATTGCGATTTTCACTAATATAATGTAATATATAGAAAAATAAAATATTTCGGGGGTTGCATTTAAATGATTTATAGACTTATTTTATTTTTTAAAAGTGAAGATAACCCATGCATATGTAAGCCCGCAATAAAAAAAATGTGTGTATCAACATGCACTTTAACATGTTCAAAGAGAAAGACTAAAATCGTTTACTTTTGGTTGCAGTGTTTGTTTTTTTAAACTCACAAATTGAAATAAAACAAGATAAAATTAATGAATCTGTACCAAAAAATTGACCCCTCAAAATTAATTAGGTTCCAAAGTTGTTTATTAATTTAAATATTTAAAAAATTAATAATCGAAATGGCAGCTTTCAATGCACAGTCTATAGAGCTACCAGGTAAGAAAGATCAGCGAAACATTTTAGCGCAATTTGACGTCATTTTAATTGTGACAGTATTGAGTTCAATTGTGACGGCAGTCAACGGTATTGTGACGTGCCTGAGTCGACGCTGCGTTAAAACGTATGCACAGATCAACTAGATCGGGCCTCGTTAAATCATCTTTCTTCTATCTTAAGTTGATGAAAGCTTAATAGATGCGAAATTAAGTTTGATCACAAGCATGCTACATGTAGGTACCAATTAAGATACAAACTACAGACAGTGTAAATACAAGTGTAATTAATATTAAGGAAAAATACCTTATATACCAATCTAATTTAACCCTAACCTTGCACAAAATTTATTTCTACTAAGTATTAGTAACTGAAAACAAAATAGGCTAGCTTACTAGTACATGTAAATTGCTTTTAAATATATTGCACAAGATAAGAGTATTAATTAATGCTTATATAGAAATGCATCAACCATTAAAAATAAAATAAATACTGCATGACATTACTATCAAGCAATAAATTATAATATATAATATGGAATTTTTATTTCTAAATTAGCATACTTAAATGTATTCTCATGTAGCCAGATGGAAAACCAAAGAGAAGTGAATTTCGTTGTGAATCTTACAACTTCGTTGTTCAAGTACGTCAAATTACATGGAAAATTACACAACATTTAAAATCCCTAGAAATTCAGTTCCTGTAAAGAACCAATCAAATGAAATTCTCTAATAAATTTTGTTCAATGTTTAGCCTACAAATGGACTGTTCAAGAATATCCCATTCATTTAACAAATTTTAATTTGCATTTAAAAGTGTGAAATAACATGCATTAATTAATTAAAATAAAATAAAACAAAATTTATATATACTTTGAAAATATGTGTAATTAGTCTAATCATCTGTTAATTGGGGTACCCTAGTATCACAGACTGCACAAAACTAAAAGCAATTACATAAAAAAAAATTGGTGTAAAGTCCTGATATGATCGTACATGTGTACATGGATCAATAAATGCTAAAATACTAAATATGTTTCAACTAATAAAGCAGTGCCCTAATTTCATAAGAATATAAACTGTGTGACACATTCTCTGTCTCCAATCTTGGCCTGCAGCTCTTGTTCAATGGCGTCAATAATTCTCCGCATTTTTCTCGTGGTGGTATTTGGGGTTATAATTTTTATTTTTGGAATTTGACTAATTTTCTCAGACTCCTTACTCAAGGCTGCATTCTCTTCCTCTAGGCCGTCTTTACCAAGCTGGTCATCCTCAGTATTGGAATTTACATTTTGTTCAGAGTTGACATTTTCTTCTAGTGGAAGGTCTGCATTTAAGATATTGTGAGTCTCCAAAATTCCGCAGGAAGCTAGAACCATGTCATCAAAATCTCGCGAGCTTCGGTCTTTAATGTCGATCTCACTGTCATCTCGGCTTCCATGCGAGCTGAGTCTAGACCGTCGTCCAGAGTTGTCACTCCTGTTTTTATGTTCCACTTTATCCTCAGCCTTCCCAGCATCCTCCTGGGGGTCCGTTTTTGTGTCTAGTTTTGGCAGAGTAAATTTAGGGAGCTTTATCCCAGAACTTAGATTTTTTGTGATGTTTGCAAAGTTCGGAAAGAGATTCTTCCTTTGTTGACCAGGACTGCTGACAGGTGATGACATCACAGGACTGACCGACCTTGGGCTATTTCTTGACCTTGACCTGGGTGTGTTTGACCCTGACAGTTTAGTCAATTCCCCAGCAGATACATCTCGCGGTACGTGTAAGTTACTCAGTGTTTTCTCCTGTTGTTCTATATAAATATTCTGAATGTCAGGATGTGGTTTTGTTTTCCTCCTGCAAAAATAAAATTTTATTTAGAGAAATCTGAGATACAACAGTACCCATGCATTAATAAGAATTCAAATTTTATGTCTCTCTTATATAATGCATCCATATAATATCTCAATCATTGAAGAGTCCACTTTATCAATGTTTTCTTTAGAACAAGTTTTGTTAAAATTTTTCATCTCTACAGTATAGCTATTCTTTGCAATTGTATTTCAAAAAATAAACTTAACGTGAACAAGAGGCCCATGGGCCACATCGCTCACCTGAGAAGCTTTGACCATTCTGTTCTTTACCAGATTTCCCCTTGTAATACATATTGTGACCACACCCTACCCACTGATCATAACTGAGATAATTTGAAATCTACACTACCCCAGGATGCTTCCACATAAGTTTCAGCTTTTTTGGCCCAGTGGTTCTTGAGAAGAAGATTATTAAAGATTTTTCCTATATATTTCAATTTAAAACTATGATTCCCTATTGTGGCCCCGCCCTACCCCCGGGGGTCATGATTTGAACAATTTAGAATCTACACTCCCCAAGGATGCTTCCACATAAGTTTTAGCTTTTCTGGCCCAGTGGTTCTTCAGAGAAGAAGGTTTTCAAAGATTTTTCCTATATATTTCTATGTAAAACTTTGATTCCCTATTGTGGCCCCGCCCTATCCCCGGGGGTCATGATTTGAACAATTTAAAATCTACACTACCCTAGGATGCTTCCACAAAAGTTTCATCTTTTCTGGCCCAGTGGTTCTTGAGAAGAAGATTTTCAAAGATTTTTCCTATATATTTCTATGTAAAACTTGGATTCCCTATTGTGGCCCCTCCCTAATCCCGGGGGTCATGATTTGAACAATTTAGAATCTATACTACCCCAGGATGCTTCCAAATAATTTTCATCTTTTCTAGCCCTGTGGTTCTTGAGAAGAAAATTTTCAAAGATTTTTCCTATATATTTCAATGTAAAACTTTGATTTCCTATCGTGGCCCCGTCCTACCCCCAGGGGTCATGATTTGAACAATTTAGAATCTACACTCCCCCAGGAGGCTTCCACATAAGTTTCATCTTTTCTGGCCCAGTGGTTCTTGAGAAGAAGATTTTAAAAAGATTTTTCCTATATATTTCTATGTAAAACTTTGATTCCTCATTGTGGCCCTGCCCTACCCCCAGGGGTCATGACTTGAACAGTTTAGAATTTACATTACCCCAGAGTGCTTTCACACAAGTTTCATCTTTTTTGGCCCAGTGGTTCTTGAGAAGAAGATTTTCAAAGATTTTTCCTATATATGTCTACGTAAAATGTGGATTCCCCATTGTGGCCCTGTCCTACCCCTGGGGGTCATGATTTGAACAAATTAGAATCTACACTACCCAAGGATACTTCCACATAAGTCTCATCTTTTCTGGCCCAGTGGTTCTTGAGAAGAAGATTTTCAAAGATTTTTCCTATATATTTCTATGTAAAACTTGGATTCCCCATTGTGGCCCCGCCCAACCCCCTGGGTCATGATTTGAACAATTTAGAATCTACACTACCCCAGGTTGCTTCCACATAAGTTTTAGCTTTTCTGGCCCAGTGGTTCTTGAGAAGAAGATTTTTAATATTTCCATTTCCAATTGTTTTCTCTATGATAAACAGTACAAAAGTGAATCACGTTAATTTCATGGTAATACCCTGTGGTATGTATATTTCTCTATTACTGAAAGGTCAGGTGTCAACCTGCATGCATATCACTGGCGTATAAATATACTAAAGAAAAAATAGATGTTTTGTTTAATTGTTTACTAAGTAATTTGATATGATATATCTTTTTAACAAACAAAATAAATAATGAATTATCTTCGGCTCGAAAGCAAGTCACTAGCGCAACGCTGTCCACTATCACCGAGGCCTCGCGAGACCGAGAACTCCACTTCCTGGTAAACAGCCACGTGGAGAAATTGACATTGCCACATGGATCTGCACGTATTCATCATCTGATACAGACATCGTCCCTTAGTCATTACCACCTAACTTCTTACGCAACTCAACTTCTTCTGTTATTTTAACATCCATACAAATCGGTTTCCTGACCATGCTGACCAACTCCCATTTCATCAACTGCAACATTGCATTCAATATGGCGGCGGAGAAGTGACATAGTGCCTATATATGTTCGTGCTTCCGACAACCTAAATCTAGGTCACATATATAATTAAAGTTAACAACATTACTTTGATCATAATTTAAAATTCTTTTGTTGTTTATTTTATAAATGTTGATATTTGACTACGGTAACTAAATAATCAATAAATTTGTTTTGTGTTTTTTTGGACTATTTTTTTTATAGTAAAATTTGACGTCATGGGGCCTTGTGCATTTCAAATCTACTCAATTAGACGGTATTTCAATTTATTTTAAGATGGTTATTTCAGGTAAAAATGGAAATATAAGGAATCACTGTCTTAAGTTTTGAGAGTATGCCAGGGACATCAACAATAGTGGGAAACATGGAATAATTTTAGCATAACGGGCTTCGCCCATTATGCAAATTATCCCATGTTTCCCACTATTGTTCATGCCCTGGCATACTCTCAAAACTAGACAGTGATTCCTTAAATGACCCTACCTTATATTTCTCTTTTCTTGATTATCTCCCCTTATGAGGGGAATTGGTCCTTCCTTTTAACAATTTAAATTTCCCTTTACCCAAGGATGCTTTGTATCAAGTTTGGTCAAAATTGGCCTAGTGGTTCTTGAGAAGAAGTCAAAAATGTGAAAAGTTTACAGACAGACAGACAGACGGACAGACGGATGGACGGACGACGGACAAAATGTGATCAGAAAAGCTCACTTGAGCCTTTGGCTCAGGTGAGTTAATAAAAAATCAAAAGCCTGAAAGGCTTCAATGGCGTCGAACAAGAAAAACAATTTCAAAAGATCTGCAAATAGGTCAAGTGAGTGACTCCAGTAACATAATAAAATTAAAAAAATAGTCTTAACACAAATACAGTATAGGGCCTGATAGCCTTGTGTCCTGGTCCGAATGAGTCAGGGTTCGAATTGACCAGACATCGTCAGAAATGTCCATCCTCTCTATATCAATCTAATTTCTTTTCAGTCAATGAAGGGTTTCATAAATTATTTTAATTAATTGCCATTGTCAGAGTGTTGTTCTGTTGTATAGTGATTGCATCTTAACTACAACCATGACTCTAATGTTACAAGTACGATCGACTTACGATAAGGCGCGGTAAACAAATGGAGGAATTAATAGATAAATACAGTAATACTGGTATTACTGGTCAATATCGTAGGTTGTTCGGCTAAAATTGGATTGAAGATCGTAAAAGTAAAGCTAAGATTAAGAAATTCAATCTTTATAGTCTTGTTGTATTCGTGTTTATTTTGTAATTATTTTACCGTATTTAAGATTGTTTGTATTACAGTAATCGGTCCCAAATGTGATTCATGTCATTGGACGCACCCTCTCAGTAGAAATTCATCCGCAACAACCATAACGTTTTTCTTGCGTAAAAATTAAACATAATATCGTTGTTTTGTAGTAGTATTAATTGAAGATACAATTGATTTAATTTTATATTCAAGCTATTATTCATTGTGAACGTTTTAAAAGAAATTGGTTCACAGCTGTTGCTATTTTCTATTGCGGATGCATCCACTGACACGTGCGGTCGCGTAAACCTGACTGATCGCTAGATGACGATCGGGCAAGCCCGACGCCATAAAAAGTACACATAAGCTGGTATCCGTTTTACTGACCTATCCAACTTGGTTTTGGTTTCCAGCTCCAGTTTCAGTGACAGAATTTCTTGGGCGGCCGCAAAGGCCTGATGTATTGCCTTCAGACTTTCTACAATTCAATTACAGTTATGATAAATGATTGCACAAACCAAAATCTAGAGTTAAAATTTCTTGGTCTCGTTCAGTTGTTGAACTTTTTTATGCCTTTTCTATCTTTATAATCATGTGTACCTCTAGCATCTTCCGTATTTTTAACAACGATGATCATGTTGTTGAAGAGTCTTGTACGAGGAATCCTGAACGTGTGGAAGAAGCCCTCCTCTGCATAGTGCTGGTAATGAATCCGCAGACACACAAACTTTGACTTGAAAATGGAAGGCTCAGCACCTATGCAAAAGGAAAATCAAATCTCCCAAAAAAGAAAATTATGCAGTCACCACTGTTTTAGACATTGCATGATGCAGCAATGTCTTTCCCTGCTTTATTCCATTGTTAACCAAAACTTTTAGAAATCTCTTTGTATTTTATTCAATACACATTTTTTAACTTGCTTTAAAACAATCTACTTGTTCTTTTTTTTATTATTAATGATTACATTAAAATTTTTGCCTGTGTGCTATATATTTTAATGTATTGACTGACCTATTTCCATTTTGACGATGTCTTCGAGGAATATCCTCTGGTACTGGACGATCTGTTCCTCTTCATCATCATACCAGGCTACGTACACTGACCTCTGACTAAGGAGCAGGATAATGTCCATGTCTAATCGATCCTCATCCCCAGTCCTACAAATAAAAAACACCAAACAATGAGGAGCAGGATAATGTCCATGTCTAATATGTCCTCATCACCTGTCCTACATTCAGAAAACAAAACAATGAGAAGGATAATGTCCTGTTCTACAAACAGAAAACAAAACAATGTCAGAGGAGCTGGATAGTGTCCATATCTAGACAGTTCTCATCTCCTGTCCTACAAAAATAAAATGAGGAACAGGATAATTTCTTACAAACAGAAAACAAAACAATGTGGAGCAGAAGAATGTCTGTGTCTAGACAGTCCTCATCTACTGACCTACAAACAGAATTAAAACAAAACAATGAGGAGCAAGATAATGTCCATATCTAATCTGTCCTCATCTCCTTCCTACAAAAATAAAATGATGAACAGGATAATGTCTTACAAACAGAACACAATACGATGAGGAGCAGGACATTGTCCATATCTAGACAGTTCTCATCTCCTGTCCATAAAATTAAAAAACAAAACAGTAAAGAAGAGGATTTGGTGAAAAGGAGAGTGTTGTGCATGAATGTCTTAATGGTCCTCATCTGTCATGATAAAAACAAAACACAAAACTTGGCTAAGAAGCATGGTGATTTCTACTTTTACTTTCTCTTCATCTTCATTCCTACAGATGGAACATACGTTAAGACGTCACAAATACTGTAGATCACTAAATTTTCGTGAAACCAATTATTTTCACGAGATACTCTTTGACCCTTATGATAAGCGAGATAAAATTTTCACGAATACTATATTATACATGAATAAAAAAAGACTTACAGTAGTCCCAAAAGTCAAGGGGATGAAACTAGCTTTATACATTGTAGTATTTACACAGATTATACAATAATTGATACCTAGAAATACTTAAAGAATAAGACATAACTTGCTTTTAAAATGTAATAAACAATTTGTATTTTTAGTATTATTTCAAAGTTGCTCCCCTTTCACTGGCAATTTTTTCCCTGGATATATATGTATGCTACATGTATATGATGGAGTGGAAAATAGAGACTTTGACTTTAATGTTAAATCAATGACCTATCTTCAAGAAGTGTGAAAAGATCAACAATTCATCAACATATAAAATTATCAAGAAAAAATTTTTTCTCATTCATCAAAATAACATTTTTCACATTCTTGATTCAAATTATCAGTTTATGAGAATTCTTTGTTATATTAATTGATGAAATATTGTAACCCCTGCTTCTCTGAAAATATACTAAAAATATAAAAATACTGTATTTATATAATATTTACTTCCTCCTTTTTCACAAGTTTTTGCTTCAGTTGATGAACATCTGACCTTAACTTAGGCCCTTCCTATTCATATCATGGTGTGTGTTATTCACATACTTGTGTCTCCCTATTCAGAAATTAGCCCTCCCCCTTTTCACTGAGTTTTGTAAAACATACAAGCATTGATGAGGATTCCAACCACCTCCCTCCAATTTCAAGTTCTGTAAAACATATTAAATATGTGCCCCCCACTAATACACATGTATCAAATTTTGCACTACACGTACTTATATTGTGGGTCCGACTGATTGATCCCCCTCCCTTCCAAATTTATGGCCTATGGTCCAATCAACAACTTGCACTCCGTTTCCAACAGATAGACTGTTTCTCTCTACCCCAGTCAACAACTGTATACTGTTGATAAACATTGATATCCAGGCCCCCTCAAAGTTCTGTGACACATACTGTGGGTTGACCTGCATTGACTGAAACCCCCCCCCCCCTCTGTTCTGTAATACATACTGTGGGTCTGAGTTAATGAGACCCCCCCCCACCCCCACAGTACACTGTTCTATAATACATATTGTGTGTCTGAGTTGATGAGACCCCCCCCACCAAAAAAAAGTACACTGTTCTATAATACATACATACATACATACTGTGGGTCTGAGTTGATGAGACACCCCCCCCCCCACAGTACACTGTTCTATAATGCATACATACATACATACTGTGGGTCTGAGTTGATGAGACCCCCCCACAGTACACTGTTCTACAATACATACTATGTGTCTAAGTTGATGAGACCCCCCCCCCCCACAGTAAACTGTTCTGTAATACATACTCTGGGTCTGAGTTGATGAGACCCCCCCACAGTTCACTGTTCTATAATACATACTTTGTGTCTGAGTTGATGAGACCCCCCCCCCCACAGTTCACTATTCCATAATACATACTGTGGGTCTGAGTTGATGAGACCCCCCCCCCCACAGTTCACTGTTTTATAACACATACTGTGGGTCAGTATTGATTGAATCCCCTATACACTGTTCTGTACTACTTACTGTGGGTCAGCGTTGATGAGACTCCAGCCCCCCATACACTGTTCCGGTTCAATGATCAGCATCTTCTTGGCGTCCTCAATCAGCATTTTGAGATTCTCCTCCTTCTCTAGGAGTTCGTTAGAGTCCTCCTCCTCCTCCTCATCGCCCTCTGAGGAGTCCAGCTTGTCCGAGGACAACATCATGGCATCCGTGAGGACCAGCTGACCCAGCATCAGGTCAATGGTTGCCTGGCGATAGCTGTCACGGAAACGTAGGTAGTACCTAGAAGATTGTGGAAGATTATATGAAAAAATCATGTGCATCTGAAAATGATTTTATGGAAAAAAACATAGGTAATCAAAGATTACAAAGCTCACCTCGACAAATGTTATCAGTTTAAGTAATGCAAATCTCACATCATATTTTCTTAATATTTAGTATTCATCCCAACAACAATATTCTTGCAAGTTGTGTTTAACCCCTTACATGGCATATACACATTTCTAAGCCTGTAGCGTGAAAAATATGTATATGTATAGTGTAAACAAATATTCATAACTGTTAATACTGCATATATCAAGGTCTTCAAGTTCATTCGGATTGATCTGTTCCCAAAACTTTAACCAAGTCTCTTGTATGGAATATATAGGTCAGATCCAGCATCCGAAGCAAGTCATATAGTGTCCATCCTTAGATACATCATCCATGCAAGTTTGGTTAAGCTAGGGCTTATAGTTACTTGGGAATGAAAATGTAGGTCAGATCCACTGCATCCGAAGAAAGTCTGGTAGTGTCCATCCCTAGATACATCATCCATGCAAGTTTAGTTTAGCTAGGGCTTATAGATACTTGGGAATGTAAATAAAGGTCAGGTCCAGAATCCGAAGCTAGTCTGGTAATGTCCATCCCTAGATGCATCATCCATGCAAGTTTGGTCCAAATAGGGCTTATAGTTACTTGGGAATGAAAATGTAGGTCAGATCCAGCATCCGAAGCAAGTCTGGTAGTGTACATCCCTAGATGCATCATCCATGCATGTTTGGTCCAAATAGGGCTTATAGTTCCTGTGGAATGGACCTGCTCCAAAAACTTTAACCTGGTCACTCATCTGGAAAATGTAGGTCAGATCCAGCATCCGAAGCAAGTTTGGTAGTGTACATCCCTAGATGCATCATCCATGCAAGTTTGGTTCGAGTAGGGCTTATAGTTCCTTGGGAATGGACCTGCTCCAAAAACTTTAACCTGGTCACTCATCTGGAAAATGTAGGTCATATCCAGCATCTGAAGCAAGTTTGGTAGTGTACATCCCTAGATGCATCATCCATGCAAGTTTGGTTCGAGTAGGGCTTATAGTTCCTTGGGAATGGACCTGCTCCAAAAACTTTAACCTGGTCACTCATCTGGAAAATGTAGGTCATATCCAGCATCCGAAGCAAGTTTGGTAGTGTACATCCCTAGATGCATCATCCATGCAAGTTTGGTCTGGGTAGGGCTTATAATTCCTTGGGAATGGACCTGCTCCAAAAACTTTAACCTGCTCCAAAAAACTTTAACCTGGTCACTCATCTGGAAAATGTAGGTCAGATCTAGCATCCGAAGCAAGTCTTGTAGTGTACATCCCTAGTTGCATCATCCATGCAAGTTTGGTTCAGGTAGGGCTTATAGTTACTTGGGAATGGACTTGCTCCTAAAACTTTAACCTGGGACGCCGACGCCAACGCAGGGGGTATAGCATAAGCTCATCTCGACTTCGTCGAGGTGAGCTAATAAGTTAATGGATTTTGATTTATAAACATTTAAACCAAATTTCATGATTTGAGATTATAGGATAGACTTTTAACATGATCTCAAAATGTGCTCATTCAGAATTTGGATTGTTTTTATAAACAACTCAAAAAGTGCTCATTCAGAGAAAGGTTTTAGATTGTTTTCTTTAAAAAAATCATCTCAAAAAATACTCACTAAGAAAAAGATTTTAGATTGTTTTATAATATCGAAGTTTTTTTTCAAACCTGAATGACATACATTTATTTAATAAGAATGAAGTGAACACATCATATTTATATCATTGAGAATACATGTATAAAGACAAATGAAGGTTAGTTATGTGATCAAATCCCATTAAGCATAATGGGCTTTTTGGCACATTTGATCCTGTACCATCCAGGGTCTATATCCTGATAGATATATTTCAGAATGATAGTATATACTATTTACATTTTTGACAGTGTTGCAATGAATACAAAAGCAGCATTAACATTCTTCATAAAAATATGGGTAGAACATTAATGGATTTCAACTACCGGTAAACGTAAAAAAAAAGTTTATACAATTCATGGAGTGTCCTCTTAGCACAATTATGAAATCTGAATTAATTATTTGCCTTTTTTAACTCTCAAATATGTAAACTAGTTTTAAGACCATTAGAATTGTATGACAAGTACATGTACCAGACAGTGAATTTCTGTGAAAAAAATATTGAGATTTTTAAAATGCCCATAAAATATCATTCCTTGTGGACATACCCTTATAACTTCATTCATTTCTTGAAAAGTTCTTTCCAAACAATTGGCTTTACAAGTAATTCATACCATTGTTTTAAAAAGAAAGGTAAAAAAAAACAATTTGAAACTTCAGTAAACAAGCTTTTGTGAAGAATCGAAGGTACCAAAAAAGTAAAACAACACATTCGAATCCATTTGATCAATAGTACTATAATTATCATGCATCTAAGATGCACACCATCTTGTGGCTGAGTTCTATACCTGTTAGCAGAATTAACACCATCCTTCATCATGCCTGTAATTTTTCGTTCCCCTGTCCTAGTATAATCTCCCTGCATTAGAGAAAAAGAATCATGCTTAGAAAGTTCATGCAAATAGGAATTAAACTTTTAAAAAAGGTTTGGAAACTAGAAACAGTGAATGAAAGGCAAATCTTCTACCTATCTGAAAAAGAGAACTTTGATGGTGCATTTTGATTGAAAAAGAAAAGTTGTAGTAAGAAACATATGCCAAAATGAGAATATCATCTATTCAGAATGTAAATAAAAGATCAAACTAAAGCATTTCTAGCTACACTCAATCCACTGTAATATTACAGTAAAAGCACATTATGTATATGACGATGCTTTCATTTCAGAAGTACATGTAAACAACAATGGAAGAAGAAGGCAGCTTTGTTGAACACCTCTTTATAGACCAAAAGAAGGTGAGCTTGGTATCTATAAACCTTACCATATTTTTTTCTAATGCAGAGTATAATAACGTACTTTTCAATATCTGCATGAGCAAAGAATGGTCTTTAAATTACATATTCATACTTTTCAGAAATTTAATGAAACATCTTACTCATGGTAGTTATTCAATGCTGGTCCAATATTAATAAGTAACCATACACAGATAACTAGTTATTTTTATCAAAAATGTATTGTTTTTTGAAAAACCATGCATTTTCCCTTCCTTTTCTGATAAAAGTGTTAAGAGTCCTTTACAAATTTTACCTTTAAAGCTGCTGTTCCAGCATATTGCCTGCTAATGGCATCACCATTGTTGGCCCAGAGGACCTGGAAAATCCTCTTACAGTTTGTGGGGAGTGTCTCATCAGGGGGGAGGATACCAAGTTTTCTCAGCTGATAAAAGCATAGACTGATGGTATCATTCATAGTTTAATGAAATTAAAATCCAACGCTTAAAAATATTTGAAAATTATAAGATGCAATGGATTTAGAATGTTTGCGTACTTGTGTTTCCATGACGATTCTAGCTATGGCGGTCTGACTGACGTTTGTTCTATCCAGACAGTCTACACAGTTGACTCTGAACACCCCTCTTTGTTCACATATTGCGCTGTCCTTGTTCAACCTTCAAAAGACCACAGAACACTACTGAACTGAATGTCCAAGTTTACATGTACCAGTTTTTCAGTTCTCACAACTCGAAAATGTAATTTATACAGATATAATTTGCAAAATCAAGTTCAAACTCACAAATTTTCATTTAATCCAGATTTTTTTTTCACATAACATAAAGCTATAAGAGATTATGAAAATAAATAAGGGAACTCACCAGCAGTATCTCATGAGTTTAAGCATGTCCGTGACCCCATCAGTCAGAATGGACACATTCTCAAACTTCATACCACGACTGAAAATACACATATTTAAAGTTCTTTTTAAGTTTACATTTTTTTTCATATTTATTAAGTTGTGTGAACAATTGTATTTAACTAAGAGATGTTCGTAAACCCGACTTATGCCCCCTCCCCCAAATAATTGGAATTTTTCTCTAAGTCCAAACCACATAACTCTGTCAAAAAAGGGCTCGATTGTACCCAAAACAGATCTTGACCTAAATATACTTAAAATATTTAGATCCACTGAATATTTTCTCCTTCATTTCTTAAGAAAACCCATTGCGTTAATCACTGCATGAACTACATTAGGCATGACGCCTGTACCGATTTCTTGATCAGTGGCTGTTCCATCAATGAAACGTATAAAGACGTTCGCATCATTAATACAATAATTAATCTTTTTAATCCTACCTTAAATGATTATTTAAACAGATATAAATATAAACAATAAAATGTCTTTCTTTGTTTGTTATTACTGGAATTAACGGTCGCAGCTATTGCAGAAAAAATACATAACCCGCGTAAGCGTTAATTCCAGTAATAACACACAAAGACAGCATTTTATTGTTTAAATAAATCTTTATAGTACTGAATTTCATTTTAGTACAGTGTGTCACTACAGTGTATGTGCAACCTCTACAAAGAAATTTTAAATTGGAATTTTTCTAAGTCCAAGGGGCATAACTCTGTCCAAAATGGCTTAATCGTACTACAAACAAATCTTGACCAAGATATTCTTATTAAAATCTGTATACCAAATTTCATTTCAATATATGCAACCTCTGCA